GTGTGAAGGCTCTTTCCCCTCGAAATCTGAATGGAAAAGAACCGTCAAAACCTCTGTTCTTGCTCACGTTTCATCATCTCGACAGGAGCGGATGAATAATGATTGTGATTTCTTGCAATTCAATATTGTGTGCTCTGGAAAATCGCCTAAAACCCTCTGGTCCATCCCTTCAAACATTTACGAAGTTCAGTTATGTAAATTTATCGCTAAACTCTGGACCCTTTTGAATATACCAGAAGAATGTTGTCCTATCTGTAAAAGAACGTTTACAAATGTTTTCGAACATCTCTCCACTTCATGCTCTGGAACATCTTTATACAGAGATGCCTGGTGGGAAACAATTACAACCGCCCGTTTTTAGCGTCTATTACTCCACCTTGGCGATTACTAGGGAATTAGCTCAACACTCGCAATATTTTCCACATTTATTAAAGTTCATAAAACATAAAACAACAATCTGGGATATAGGCTACTCTTCACTCCGTACAATATGTATATGGGGAAACTCGCTAGATAATTAATTAAACGGACAGACAGACGAACCTTATGACTATAAGGTAAACGTTACGGCTTTACGAACACTTCTTAATCTACATGTATCTTTTCTCTTACTCTGATTCTAACTAACTAACTTCTATTATCTAAGTAACATTTTATAAAACTTTTTCTTTACTTTGATTGACATGTCCAATTATAAATTAATCAATGTGTTCTATCCAATCACTGTCAATCTTTATTACTCAAGACTGACCATCGCTAAAAGTTAACGCCCATTACTTGACCTGCGTTAATCCGCTAATTGTTATCTAAACGTTTTAACTCAATTAGTGTCAAACACTCTTTTGATCTTGAAATATATTGTCCATCTGTCCGTACTATCTGATAAGTATTTGTCCTTAAGCAATATTTAATGGCTTTGATTTATTATTTCATTGTTACAGTTAAGACTTTTTATAAACATTGAGTTACATTTTATCACTTCCGTATCAAGAAGAATTTCACAAGATTGCGTATGTTAAATACATTAATTAATAAACAAGCCGAAAACAGAAAATATATAGAAATGTGCAAAACATACATTTTGCACGGTCATAGAATCATCAAATTTCGCAAAAATCGTAAAGAAAATTCCACAATGAGTGAAATGCCATTCTCATCTGTCAGTGTCATTGAAATTCATGGTGAAACTTTGGAGACCCAAGTCAAAAAGTTCAGGGACCAGGCAGCATCTTACAAATCCGACGCCCAATACTACCAAAATAAATGGTTGCGTGAGCGGCAAATGTGTCTGACGAAGTTCTTAGAAAAAGACAAGACTATCAAAGAACTCCAGGAAAAACTCTCAGCTGTAGAAAAAGACCTTGAGGAATCGAAAAAAGTATTAACTGACTTTCAGAATGAGACCAAAAAGAAAGAGGAAGAGTTAAATTCACTTCGGAAATACAAAGAGTTTCATTCCTCGAGGAAAGCCATCTACATGTACAGTGGACCGCCCCGTAGAGCCAGGAAGCAATACCCCAGGACTTCCAATACTGTCAGAAGTAACTATGCCTGACAACACTAGACCTTCTTGGAAACACGAGGACGTGTCTCGGGGGGCAAAGGGGTACTGTGACCGTGTAAAATGAACATATCTTTGAGTAACAATAATTTCCTTTTGATAGTGCTTAATTTAACATAATTAGACCTTGACCGCAAGACATTTGATGCCACCTGTGCCTGAGTGAACATGTTAATTATTATTCAATTAATTTAATTATGTCAATTATGTCCATCTGCTTAGAGTAACTCTTCATTTTAATTGTTTATTTCATCATAGTTATAAATTGGCCGTTTCATACATGATCGTCAGTTGGAAACTGGACCTTGCACTGTCCACGCCGACACACAGATCGTGTAGAAAACACCAAGTTTGGATCGTTAATAAAATATTATGCGAAGTACCGACTTGTGTATTTCTACCGGTTATAATTCTTTCTTTGTCTCTAATCTGCTTTCTTTTCGATTTCCTTTGCACAGTACATGTTTTCTCAGTCTGTGTTTCGACTGAGCGCGTCGGTATGGAGGAGACAGCACAGATGGTACGGGAGTTCCGTGTTTTACACATCCTAGCATAGTGTCCTCTTCTTCCACACTTGAAACATGTTGATGTCAGTGCGTTGCAGACGGTCCATCCGTGTCTTAATCCGCAGCGTCCACACTGTTGCAAGGTGAAGCGCGGTTGGACTGGTCGCATCCATACAGGAACAAATGGAAACATGTCCATGGTTAGGGGAATTCTGGTAAGAAGGTTGGCAAACTCGCTTAGCTGTATGAGATTACAGGGATCTAACTACTACAAAGTATATGCAGTAGCCCTGGGTAAATTACCCGGATTCTCCACCAAATATAACCGGTAGAAATACACAAGTCGGTACTTCGTTTAATATTTTATTAACGATCCAAACTTGGTGTTTTCTACACGATCTGTGTGTCGGCGTGGACAGTGCAAGGTCCAGTTTCCAACTGACGATCATGTATGAAACGGCCAATTTATAACAATGATGAAATAAACAATTAAAATGAAGAGTTACTCTAAGCAGATGGACATAATTGATATAATTAAATTCACTGAATAATAATTAACATGTTCACTCTGGCACAGGTGGCATCAAATGTCTTGCGGTCAAGGTCTAATTATGTTAAATTAAGCACTATTAAAAGGAAATTATTGTTACTCAAAGATATGTTCATTTTACACGGTCACACAATCATCGAAGATTTCAGTATTAATCTTGGCGCCGAACTCTCTGGACTTTCCCAGCAAGATCTTTACTTGTTCCTTCTTGGATCTCGAATCTCCGTAACTGGAAACGTCGCTTTCGACAACCCTGATCTTCACATACTTAACTTTAAATTCATTAGGGACGCAACAGCCCATTTCTACAGAGTAATGCACTCATTGTAATCTGGTCAATACCTGTTTGTGATTTTTTTTTTTACTTTTTTAACTTCCTTATAACTTTCAATGTCACGTGAATTATTTATTTATTATTATTATTTATAGCTATTTCTTGTTTTTTTGTTGTTGTTTTTTTTTTTCATCTAACTGATTTTCTCTTATAATGTTGTAAATATGTTTCACTGTTCATATATGTTGTCATGTTAAATGGAATCTCCGGTTCGGAGGAAATAAAGAAAGAATGAATGAATGAAAAGTTTACTCTAAATTCTACTTATCGTAGGAAAACCTACATAATGACAAAAACATGATCAGATTACCAGTAATATTTTAAGGACCATGGTTTGTCTCCAATTACAAGTAAATTATGTTAACATGGTTAATAGCTTTGATTTAGCAGCAGTCTACCATACATAATTACTTTTTTTTTTAAATTTGACAGAATATCTCTTCACTTTCACTGTATCAGGTGATTAGGAAATTAATTATTTTACCCAAGCTAACACTGCTTAAATAAAGCTTTTGTAATAAAATATTACCTTCTTCTTTAACATGTTAAAAAATCTATGATTGAAATTCTTAAGGAACCTGACTTCCATTTTGATGTTTTAGGTTTCATAAAGTTAAACTGTTAATATTTTTTTAACACAACCACTTCACTGAAATACTAATTCTATCTTTTTTAAAAAAGGAATATCTTCCCAAATCATGCAAATATTTCAATATTATCACTGATTATGATCTAAGAAACCTCACGTCTCCGTTCATCGCTATGTATCGATAATTAATGAGCATAACTTTAAATTAAAAAAAGAAAATAGGTGACTTTTAGTGCGTACAAATTATCTGGCATGTAAATGAGGTTTTCCGCTAATTTATTAATAAAATTATATTTCATTTTGTTGCTTTTAATCGCGATTTTATGAAAACAACGGTGTCCGTTTTTGGTTCTAACATTTATAACAGAGTACAAGATTTACCGCTTTTTGGCAGGTGATACTGCTGATTCAGTAATAAATACGCATGTTTCCTAAAGTTTTTATGCATTAATGAATTCATTTAAACCTAGAATATGTTCAAGAAAAGTTTGAATAAATTCTGTGCACCGGTAAAAAAGAAATCGCTAAAAATCCAAAATCCGGGACCGTCGGGAGTCGGGCTTAGGGAAGACTAGATTTACCGCTTGCCATAATAATTGGTTCTCATTTTCTCCCAGTCAAGAGTCCCAATCAATAGACTGGTACCCTGACATTGGTTAAGGGCGCAAGCGCCCTAAAAAACCAACGACAGGTAACCACTGCCATTTTATCGCGTCACAGGAAACAGCACTGATGAAAAAAATCTATATTTAGACTAGCGTAAATCCCTGAAGTAAATAAACCCTTCTCTCTGCACTCTACACTGCTCAGCTGTTAACAAAGAAAGTAGACGGATTTTAAGCATCTAGAAAACCATAAAGAAGTGCTGCCTCAAAAACCATTAAATGTAAAGCGATATCACAGGTCCCATATGCATATCCTACCAAAATAATTCAAATCAAGATCTATTGCATGATTAATTTACCTACATATTTACCACTGATATGATAATTAAATCATCGATTTAGTTATAACACTTGTTCTTTATCATTATTTATGTTCTAAAGTTTACGGGGAATGCTTTAACTCGTCTCTCTAACTCCATGTGTTATGGTATGCACCAGGGAGGATTACAATGTTTAACACTACGGAACATTTGAAAGTTCATTGTGACAATATATTGTAAGTTAATGATATACTCAGTTAATAAAGTCCTTACTATGTTGTTTGAATAATTTCACCGTATTCAATTGCTCTATTCATCAAGAAAGATATGCTACGTTTTGTTTTCTCTGTTATTTAAAATCGCTGGATCCACTTAACATTCTTCTCTGCAAGCATTGATGCTATTTATTTTTGGAATGCGCAGTACTATGCGCAAAGCAAGCAGTGAGTTTTTCCACTGTCATGGCGGCGGAGGTTACCTGTCCTTGTAATTCCTAGCGGCAGCGACTGGAATCAAGGGCAGAGAACCAGTGCTATCCCAATCAATTCCGAATGACAGTTAGCGAACCAGATTAATGCACAATGGCGACAGGTAGGTGGTTAGCTGAAAAAAAGTTTGATGTTTTCCTTACACATATTATCATTTTTCGGAGATGACAGTGTTTTGATTATGTGCCATAGAAATTATGTTTTCATAAGGAACCATGTTATATTGAAAAAGCATGACAGAAACGATTTAATAACAGTTAAAATATTGATATTATGCAGCATTCTGCATTCATGATCAGATGACATTGATGTCATACACAGGTGCTTGTGTTTCAGTTTATGGAAATTTCATTTTAGCTGTTTTACCTGTCAGATTTACATGCAGGTTTTTTTTTTGGGAGGGGGGGGCACTATACATGAATTCGCATCTACTCTTATTTCTTTTAAAAATTGTTACTATAATTTCAGTAAGAAAATTAGACAAAGAAATTCATAATGATATAAGTTGAATAAGTGTTCTAATGTTGAATGAATGAAATAAGCTTAGTTTTTTTCATCTGCAGACACTTTGTTAATGAACTCGAAACATGTATCACTTAATCAGTCCTTAATAAGTGCAACATTTTATCTTCTGTTGTTTTTATCACCAAAGTTCAAGTGTTGGTTGATAAAGGTTATATTATAATGGTTTATTAACTAGCTTTGTGTGTCTCAAATCTTTTACATATTTTTTATCAGTGTTGGCAGTCTGACAAAAATGACATCCCTTTCTTTTCAATTTTAAAGGATTATATATAATTTCATCTGATTTTGAGACCAGGATGTTTATTTTGTAATGTTCATGTATATACATGTATCAGCACATGCATTTGAAATCAGAGATAATGTAAATTTTATGTTAATTGACCCAAATCTTGTCCATTTAAAAGAAAACACTTCAGTCTGTTTAAAATTTGCTCAGCAAGGTAATTAAAAGTCTAACCATAAAATTAGATTTATCTATTTTGAAAAATAATTAATACATGTAAGTGTTACAATGTACTATAATTCAAAAAGCTTTTAAAGATTGCTTGAGGTATGTGATACTATTGTCCCCCAATTTTGCAAAAGGATGGAGGCATTTCATCCCAGTTGTCTGTCTGTTTGTCAGTCACAAAAACTTTAACCTTGATCATATCTATCGAATATGAGTACAAGTCGGTTCATAAATGTAGCACCCCAACTGGAAAGACACCAAAAGCAAGGGATTATAATTCTCAGAGTTTCTTTAGTTTCTCTGTTCTCTAAAAAAATAATATGAACTTACATAATATATAGAGAATATTACATACTAAAATCCATCTCATATGTCATATCAGCCTGAGTGGCCCCATATCAGCCCGAGAGCCCATATGCTCTGAGTATGTTTTGCACGTTAGAATAAATTTCAATTTTTTTCTTTGAGGCCAAAATAAAATTATAGTTTGTTTGGAATTGCCTCCCGCCTCATTGAAATGCCCCCTCCTGAAAAAATTTTATTGACCAAAAGTAGGAAGATTTTTTTTATTTAATCAATTTTTTTTTTTGCCCATTACATGCATCACATGCACCATACAAAACACTAAAATAAAGTGTCAGATCTATGTAAAATTAGGTTTTCAATTAAAAAGAATAATAATTTCCCTCCCTCCCTCCCGTGTCTGAGACCCTTCAGGCGGCAATTCCAAACAAACAATTTTTTAAGGATGGCCTGATGGAATCATTGGTTTATATTTACAGAGGCAGATTTCACTTATGATGAGGCAACATTCAAAGTTTCAGATGAAATGAAACATGCATTTAAAGAACAAGGATACATTGTATTGAGGTATTTGTTTTTCTTCTTTCTATGATTGTAATACATGTAGTCTATATATGAAACTTGGTGTCTGAGTAAGATTTTTAAATTTTTAATTTTGAAAAAAAAATTATCTAATGTAAATCTGCAGATGCAGAATTATCAAAGTAACAATATATTTACCAACAAGAAGTTATTTCAGGGCATGATTTACTTTTTTTTCAATTACATGTATGTTTGGGTTTTTTCTGTGTCTAAAGTGTCTTTGAACTCACTTGCACTTGTTTGAACCAAAATCCATTTGTACTGCAGATTAATGTGAACATTTTTTAAGACTTGCCAATACATGACTGTTAATTAATTTATACATACTAGTATTTAAGAGAACCTTTTTCACAATCCTTAACCTGATCAAGTATTCAAGTTTTCATTATGTACTAGAATTAAAAATAGGAATTAAATGTTCAAGTGAATTGCAGCATACAAGCAATCTACATGTACCGGCCTCAGAATCAAATCAAGGCTACTTTCAAAGAAACATATTAAATTAAACATTAAAATTTGATGTAATACAATTTAGAAAATACCCCAGTTGCAACATCTATAAACTTTATCATGCATTTGCAACCTTAGCACAGCTACAGGTTATGCCAATTTTATAATTCATTTGATATTCAGTTCAGCATTCATCTTGTATCAAACAATGCACACACATGTATTATACTCAAACGTGCTCTTATAGTGCATCTTGTTTAAATTATTGTTCATCCAATAAACATTTTGTTTCTCCCCGATTTTACAGAGGTTTATTTAGTCCAGAGGAGCTGAAAAAAATTAAACAAGTTTTGGAAGACACAGACTTGGTCCCCAAACATGGATATGGAGTAAGTATCTGATGGGCATGAGTTTGACTAAAATTATCAAGTGGTATTGTTTTCTCTGAAACAGCTTGGTCACTTTTTGACATATCCTTAGTTATGTACAAGGTTAAACAAATAACAGGGATGATTTACAAATATTTAAATATTCTTATTCATTGGCAGTTATTAGATGAAAGCTATACAAACATTTTGTACATGTATATAGGCACTATAGCTCGATCTTTTTTATATCATGGTAAATCAACATTTTGGTATAGACAGAACTTTATTAGTCGTGTTTTATAGTTTTTATATACATTTTATATTTACAAAAATGTCATTCTAGATTCCTGATTCCTCTGGTAGAATGCCTAAGATGGTGTTATGGAGAGCTCCAGGGTCTGATGTTACAGGAATGGTGTGTCGCTGTGAAAAGATTGTCACCACAGCAGAAAAGGTACTGCTTCTTATGTGTTTGTGTGTGTGTGTAAGAGAGAGAGATTGAAGAAGAGGGTGACATTCAACTTGATGTAATGTGAAAAGATTGTCACTACTGCAGAAAATATTAGCCCGTGATGTGTGTTTTAGGAAGAGGGGGAGAGAAAGGAGGAGGGGATCAAGAGAGGGTGACATTCATGTTGAAATAATTTTATGAAAGTTACAAGTTTGTTTAAATTTCTTTATGTCCAGCTTCTGGGAGGTGAGGTGTACCACTATAGCACTAAGCTGATGATGAAGGAACCCCTCGTAGGAGGTCGACAGGAGTGGCACCAGGATTATGGGTAAATTTCTGTTTTACAGACTACTAGTCCCATCCTGCAGGATTATTGGAATATTATAGCCATTTTCATAATTACTGTTTGATTAGTTGTTCTCAACTTAGATGTATATAACTTGTTGAAGTTCAAACTGGGGTACTAAGACTAGATAGAAGTTTGTCTTGGAAATGCACATATAGTGATTGCGCTTTGTACTTTTAGTGATGGGAGTCCATGTCCACCTGGTGCTATGAGTTAAATTTTATTAATTATTAACAGATACTGGTATCAAAATGGTTTGCTGTTTCCAGATGCCATGAGTGTGTTTGTAGCAATAGACAGATGCAACAAAGCAAATGGATGCTTGCAGGTAAAGCCTCAGTTAGATTAAGAACGAAAGTGAAAATATGTAAGTAATTTATATTGTGTTTAAACTTTTTATCTACTATCTAACTTTGATAGGTTTTGCCGGGCTCACACAAAGTTGGTCGTATTGAACACAAGTTTGTAGCGGGTCAGACAGGGGCGGATTTAGAAAGGGTAGAGCACCTTAAGAAAGTATTTCCTCTTACTTATATGGAAATGGAGCCAGGTAAGCTTAGCTAACATGATGATGATAAAGTGTGGTTTATGATAATTACCATGTTATGAAATTCATAAATGCTAGCTGCAGAACTGTACCTCTATGTAAAAAGAAATTTATCTTCCTGATATTTAATTTTCTTTTCAATGGAACTGGCAGTTCTGCAGCTAAATATGCATGATTTATTATCAGTATTGTCTCCTTTTTAGGGGACACTCTGTTTTTCCACAGTAATGTCCTGCATGCTAGTGATGCAAACAACAGTCCAAACAGAAGATGGGCTCTGATCATGGCGTACAACAGGAAAAGTAACAACCCAATAGAAAGCCTGGCCCCTCCATTCCCAAGATACACGCCACTGGAAAAGGTATATTTTAAAATAAGCATTGATTGGTTGATGGGTTACTTCATGTCAGTATTAATTAATGTTATGATGTAATATATATGTGAAGTGGGTATTGATCTCATCATGAATCATCATACATCATTATTTAAGATATTTCATTGTCTGTCTTACTGTCCATCCATCTTTCGGCAGTTTAGTTTTCAAGCTTTTTTCTGCTCCATTATTTACAGAATTTCAATATTGTATGCATGTTACAAAGGGGGATAATGCTTCAAACACTATCAGCCAGTTTCAGTTGGCTTGCAAATATTTTGTTGAATACAATAGTGAATTGAGAAATGCAGAAAAGCTAGGTCCTTTAGGATTACCACTCCACATTTTATAAGCCTAAATTGCTCCAACCAAAGTTGTACAATATATATCTCAGAAAGCTATTAATTCATTCCTCAACTATTTTGTACGACTGTGTGCTAATATATTCATATTTTATATTTTTCAGGTTCCAAATTCTGCAATTTTGGATTGCACCAATCTGACTGATTTCTCTGGTAAAGAATTCTTGGACCCAACAGCAGACAAGACAGTGAAAGCTGATACATCAAACAGAAGTGAGCAAGCGACCAAAGCCTAGATTTATTTTTATATGTACCAATTAAGGAGCCTTGAAAATGCTAGGACTTATATAGCCTTATAAACAAAGAAGTTATTACATACTGTTACCCGTATAAAGTTATGTTGTTGAAAATTGACTATAGCAAAAAAAAAAAAAATACAGGAGACATATATTATGCATAATATAATATTCTTTTTTTTTACTGTACATCCCATTGTTTTTGTTTGATTTATTTCCAAAGAATGATTATTGACTGAATTTGAAATTTTCAATAACCATTTTCCCATCAAATAGGATACAAGATTTGTCATTCAAGCAAGAAGAGATGTTTTATTTCGATCCATATATACAGATTATTCTACTTATTTCATATATATACAGATTATTCTACTTATTTCATATATATTTTTTGATATATAGCTTTAAATCGCAAAATAAAGTAGTCGCGAATAAAAGTTGGTTTACAGTATATTTTTTGATATAAAGCTTTTGCTGGTGGATTTCATTGTTACCAGCTTTTTTGAATGATTGATTGAATACTTATTGATCAAGGAAATGTTCGCAACCTACAAATATGTACAGTTATATCAATGTGGAATAGATGATGATAAATAATGAAATTTATAATGATGGTACTAAATTAACAAATAATTGGTAGTTATGATATGTGTATCAGTTTTTATTTGGTAATGGTACTATATTAAGAGATGACGAGAAAATATGTAATGTAATGGTATATGATATCATATGAAGGGAAATAATGAAAAACATGACTGTAAGTAGTGGGTTTATTTTTTAAAATTTTGTGTTGATACTATTTAAAACATATGATAAGAAATAATGAAATATGAAATGGTGTTTACTTTGTAATATAGTGCATTGGTATAATTTTAATATTGTAAATGTATTACATTTGGCTCTGTATTCTTTCTATTGCCTTTGGTGGAAAGAGACATCTGCTAATTCAAGTACAACACTAAATTTCTAGCAATATATACATTAATAAGATGCACTCCATCAAAGATGTGCTAACTTGTTCAAAAATAGATTTCCACCAATTATGGTAAATGTTAAATATAATACATTTACAGTATGTTGTGGGTTTTTGTTGTCACAGTACTGTGTATTTGGTATTTACAGTTGTAGCTATTATCATTTATCCAAAACCCCTTTGTACAATTAATATATACACATCATTTCATTGGAGAATGTGCCATATTCAAGTTTAACTTGTCATTTTTTTATGTGCAATATTTTGTTTTAATATGAATATTCAGCTACTTATTATTAATGAATTCAAAAATTGTTCTAGTATTTTTTGACAAACTTTCTTTTAATTCTTCAATTTTCTTTTTCAATTAGCCCAGACCTATTTCTATACACAAAAGTTATTTATGCCACAAGATAAATTTATGTTCATAGTATGTTTGTACTTATACAGTATGGATTTGCATTTTCAACATGCAATGATATATAAATTTTGATAAATAAATGGATAAAAAAGAGCACTCAGAATTTCATCCGTAAAAATATAATTTGATTATTATCTTGGTGTGCTTGATTCATGAGATAAAAGATACCACAGTCTGACACATCTGTTTCATATTTGGATACGAGGGTTATCCAAAAAGTTCGTGGACAATGACGTTTTTGTTAAAATAAATGTTTCTATACATATCTTTTGTATATCAAAATATTCCTTATGAAAAACCAAGTCAGAGAGATTTCATTTTATTTGATGTAACTTTATATTTTTGTAAAAATTGGGGTCTTTAAATGTCGCAGATAGTGTGCATGGACCCAGGTAAAAAGGCCATAAACTTTGAAATAAAGTGTTTGGATTAAAATGATTATTTTTTATGTAAGACAAGTCAAACCTTTTAAAATAAAAATTATATGTAACACAAAGAAAATCTATAATTATTTTTTGATATCTTAAGTATCACTTACTTTTTAACCATGCACAGAGACGTAAGCGTAATCATAGGCATCGGTCTTGCAATAAATCTGTAATACATGATGCCTCTTTTGATTCATTTTTACCTTATGTAAATCAACAGTAAGGTCTAGATCATATTCGCTCCGTATTTTACTCTGTCCCTTTGAAACTTTTAAACAGTCCTCTTGAAAAGGCCAAGGAAAGTCCAATTTTTGATTCCTCGACACCAAAATATAGGCTCGGATATGTGATTATGGATATTGCCAATCATAGGCTTTTTAAAACCGCACTTTTTACTGAAGAAAATGCAGCGAAAACAATCTATCTGTCTTTTCCTTAAACTTCAGTATGCCAATAAAGGAAATGACACGGTTAATATAAGTAATATTCTTAACCACAAAAGGGTTCAGTCTTGTATTCCACCATATTGTAAGTTAAAGACTACATCTTGTATTTCGTACAAATATACATCGACCATTACTTCCAAACTTTTCAATTACAAAAAAAAACTTGACATGGCCTGATGGATATCGAGTATCTGAAACATAATCCTGTTCATGTTCTTTGCCGTCCTATAACTATAGTCTTGCTGGACACATTATCACAGGTCACGTAAATATAGTTAATAATGAAGACCGTAGATCACTTATTAAAAAAGGTCCTAAATATAGGGAACCCCCATCGTTCAACTGGCGTCGGAATTTTATAAATATTTTGGATTCTGTTGAAGATTACGCCAGACGATGGGAAAGATATAAAAAAGGAAGACGTTGCAGTGGCGGATTTAAGGGGGCGCACCCGGCGCCCCACCCCCCTAAAATTGTCAAAGTTAGCATAAAACATAGTTTTGTCGAGAAAATGTTTAAAATGTCTACTCGGTAGACCTTATTTTGGAATTCATGATGGGCCCCCACCAGGGCTTTGCCCCCAGACCCCCTGCCTAAATCTTGCGCCCCCCTAACTTCAATTCCTGGATCCGCCCCTGCGTTGACACTTTGTCAGAATGGATTAAATGTATCTGGTCCATGTTAAAAATCGCGTATTAAAAGATTGAGGAGCAATATGAAAACTATCTATCCTTCTGTATTCAATAATCCAGCAGTGAAAAAAAGAATTAGATAGATTACATGATCAGTATGTACTACGTACTGGTCCCTGCTGACAAAGCAGATAACAACATTCATATGTCTTTGTTTGTAAGGTTCATTATATAAATTGTATTTTAGAACAACTTGGATTTAATTCTACAAGTAGTAATCCAACTTATACTCATAGTTCCCTTTCTAAGGAAGAAATTCTTCAAATTCATATTTTAGTTTTGAATATTTTTAATATCCCGAAGAACCAAAATGATTTTGAACTACCATATATATATATACTAGTATTGGATTCCGAAACTTCGTAAGAAGGTTACAAACAAAGATACATTGTGGTTTCCAGTAAATGATCAACCAAGCCTCTTTCTTTACTCCTCACTATTTAAAGACATTGGCAGTAGTGAAAGAAAAACTTCAAAAGTACTGTGCAACAGTATATTCAAGAAGTGGTGTAAATCAGATGTGGATACTCAAAATTCCAAATAACTTTTGGACAACTTTAAATCACAAGATTTTACCAAAATCAACACCTTTAAAACTTACGACTTTTCAACTTATACACAACCATTCCCCACTATAAATTAAAGTCCAGGCTTTTTGATATTATTGACAGCTGCTTTTTTTAATAAAAATGGAACTAATAAATTTACTTACATGGTCATTGGTCATTTGCAGAATTATTTTGTTAAAACATATTCTGATTGCACACACAAGTACTCTGAAGTTGACATAAAAAATATGCTTGAGTTTCTGATTGACAATATCTATGTGGTTTTTGAAGACCAGGTCTTCCAACAATATATTGGAATTCCAATGAGTACCAATTGCGCTTTGTTATTAGCAGACCTATTTTTGTATTTATATGAAGCAGAATTTGTTCCAAATCTTATGCATGAAAAGAAAAAAATAAACACCTGCTGTGGCCTTAAACTCAACATTTAGATATATCGACGACGTATTGTCAATAAACAATGGTAATTTCCATTCTTATGTCGATACAATATATATCCTGGTGAGCTTGAGATAAAAGATACCACAGAGTCTGATACATCTGTTTCATACTTGGATATTTTACTTAAAAAACGTCACATGTAATGGTAATTGAACAACCAGGCTCTATGGTAAACGTGATGACTTTAACTTTTCTACTGTCAACTTCCCTTACTTAATTTATGCAGCAATATACCTTCGTCACCTGCATACGGCGTTTATATATCTCATTCTCTCAGTTGATTCGATACACAAGAGCATGTTCTACGTATGAACAATTTCAAAAACGAGGTAAATTATTGACAAACAAGTTGATAAAACAAGAATACCAGCAGTCTCGTTTAAATTCATCATCTCGTTAGTTCTTTGGTCGATACAATGACCTTGTCAGCAAATACAATTTATCATCGAGTCAAATGCTGACTGACGTTTTTCATACTAATTGTTAGTCCATTATTTATACACACGGCGGGTGTGACCGGTCGGCAGGAGATGCTCACTCCTCCATGGCACCTGATCCCTCCTCTGATGTTTGGATGTCCGTGTTTCTTCTCCTCCTATTTTTTATGGTAGTAATTACTGTAGAAGCACAATTTTCGTGGGGATAAAATTTCGTTGATTTGTAATCAAAAATATAGTTTCTTTGGCATTTAATTTTGTTGTTCTAAAAGTAATCTTATTCAATATATAGTCAAATAAAACTTCGTGTGTGATTTAATTTCGTTGATAATTGTTAACAACGAAATAAACGAAATTTAATCCCCCACGAATATTTGTGCTTTTACAGTAAACCCACTATTTTAACAAAACAAATTAAATATCCATGCCTTCATTGATATAGGAATGTTAGTTTACTAGGCCTACAAACTTTTTCTTAACTGAATTCCTCCTATTTTTAAACATTTTTTCCATACAAAATGAAGAAGACCATGAAAAATTCATTGTTTCAGAATTACTAGTATCACCAGATTTAACAATCTCTTAATAATACACTTAAATAGTCTTTTTTGCAGTAATTTTGAACATCAGCAGACAATGAATTAT